GGGCGGCGGTGGGGGTTCAGCCGCTGCGGTGGAGCGAGCAGGTGGCGAACGTGACGGAGAGGCTGGTCCGGTACCAGAGGATGAAAATGGGCTGCCAGTTCGCCAGCCTACCCGCCGGCAAGTACGGCGCCAACCAGCTCTGGGCTCGCGGGACGGCGGTGACGGCGCGTATGGCGGTGGAGGAGTGGGTGAAGCAGAAACAGTTCTACAACCACGCCAACAACTCCTGCGCCCCCAACCACAGGTGCGGCGTCTACACGCAGGTCGTGTGGAAGAAGTCTCTTCTGCTTGGCTGCGCTCAAGCCACGTGCGTCAAGGAAGATGCTAGCTTAACCATTTGTTTCTACACCCCCCCTGGCAACTACGTTGGAGAAGCCCCTTACTGATTATTCATCCTCTTATCTTTTATCTATTATGTGTATGTCAATCATGCTTAATTCTCTTCTTAACTATGCTACTTAATTAACGTCACTCAAACTCATATCTATATATTAATAAATCAATCTATTTACCAGAAAAATATTTTGATGCTTACTTAGTCCTTGGTTAACTTGCTTCAAGATTTGTATGTAACACTTTTGGTTAACAGATACTATCTTGTTTTCTTTCTCTCACACGCACGTGCTGACATGCACGCTCGTGTCTCGATCTTCTGACATTTTAATATTTTGAGAGGGAGGGCAGAGTCTGGTAAATCTCAGTGATCCCTAACCAGCGTTACATTAGGTGGTTAATTATCTTCCTTAACTGACAAAAAAATGTCATAAAGTTGTGTGTTAGTTTGGTGAAGCAAAATGAGGCATTGCTTTGGTGTCTTGTGGGGTTTTGGCCAACTGCATGTCAGGATAATTAACTTCATGTTCATGGCATCGATGAATCATTGTGGAGTTCACGTGCACATGCGGGACTTTTTTGTTTCGACTGAATCCAAAATATCTAATCGCCATTATATGTATGTTGCGTGTGTGTGTCCTTGTGTGTGTATGAGTCTTCACTATTCTGTAGTCAGTACTCACTCACTTGTGACTCTATTGAAAAGTTTTCTCTGCCTCATCTGACCAGTTTTGTGATGAAAATTTTCAGTTTTTTTGGGTTGACGAAGAAATATCTAATAACATTTTTAAAAATAATTCTCAAAATTTTAAATAAATTAGAACATATAGAGAAGATAATTCAGTTGGGATTGAAAGTTTAGGGAAAAAGAAAAACACCGTACATTGACAACAAGCAACCATTTATGATTGACACACCTGTCGCATCATGTGATTATTAAATATTAATTGTGGGGATCTCAATGCACCTGCTTCGCATTCATGTGCGCAGTACTCTAGTTAGTTGGATAGGATTCATAGGAATGATTATTTTGGGCATCTCATTTTTTTAACATCAAATTATATTCATTATTTTAATTTTTGTTTCTTTTTATTATATCCTATCATCTATTATATTTATATTTTTCTCTTTTTTATTTCCTTCCTGGCAAATAAGTTTTTGGATATCTAAAATTTATATTTTTTGTTAGTTTTACACTTTTAGCTGTATACAAAGGCACAACAGACTGGTTATAACCAAAAACAAAAAAAAGATCAAATGACAATGGATTATGGCAACAAATCATTTACACTGCTAATATCAGAATGTCAACACTTTGATTAGAGTACATCAATTAAAGATAATACAAAACAATGAAATAGCAAGCACAATACAGATGCAAAATGCTACACATACCAATATTAGATTTTGCCGTTGCTGCTACCCTGTCAACTTTGTACAAAAGAATACAAAACAATGTAGATCGAAGTTCTAAATTGCAGTCGCGGTCCAATTGTAATTTCTGTATGATCCTTGATAAATGGAAAATTGCAAAACAAATATGACTAATGCGACTACAATTGCAATTGTGGACCGTTTTTTAAAACTTGATCAAGATTGTCTCCCATGGTAAGAAGTAAGACTATCTAGTAATTATTTTACCAGCTCCTTGGGGATGAGATAACGAAATGTGAAGTTGTGTGGAATCCATTCTATGCTCTTCTTGGATTTTGCAAGGTCACATTTCTTAACATTCTTTCTTAGAGATTCAGGTAGAGACTGTTGGATCATCTCCATGGTACCAGCAGGGCACAAACCAGAGTCTTTGGTGAACGACTCTACAAGCTTTGGTAAAAGTATTTTTTGGTCCTTGCGTACCCCAAAGGTGGCTCGAATGTACTCTTCCTTTGCAACTTCTAGTTCTTGAGCCACTCTCTTCGGTGTATAAACACGTACCTGTCATAGTTTATGAAAAGATAAGCAACTATGTAAGTTAAGCAGGTAAAAAATGGTTAAGTAATGTTTATTCACTAGACCTTTTTAAAATGTAGTCAACTCTTGTACAGTAAAATCTACATTAGCTAACTAATTTAATTTTTCCAGATGTGATAGTAATATAGTCAAATGTAGGCATGACAACCACCATTTATAAGGGTGCAATTCCTGGAAGTGCAAACAATGTTGTGCACATAATAACTATACAAGTCTAAATGAAATTATTCCATGTTGTACTGATATGTGCTAATAGTGCTATGTTTTGTCTATTTGATGTGCCAGCGGAGAAAATAATTGCCCAAACAAATATCAAGTCTAATGAAAAACCGCATACAAGCACACACAGAAGAATTAGAATAAGTACCGCTGGGTCAGAATGGTTTCCTGAACAGAGTGCAAAGTGTAGAAGAGGCTCAGGATGCTCGATTGTGTATCCTTGTCGTCCATCTCCAGCTCTAAATTTTGTCCTTGGAGAAAAGAACAAGCGGAACCACTACAAGAGGATGCAAGTAAGAAGAAGTTCCCATATAAGTCACTCTGTAGGAATGTTACAAAACAAATACTTTGCATATTGAGAAGATATTTCAAAAAGATATTCTAAATGGCACAACATTCTTTTCTCTTTTAATTTTATGTTGGAAAGGTTGGGATTGTAAGCACCACCTGTCCAGGGCGTGGCATCCGGCACCCGAGTATAGTGTTCTGTATTGTGTCTGCACTCATTGTATGACCCCCAACATTATATGCAGCCTGCAAAATTGAACAAATCAGCAAAAGCGTATAGGCTAAATAGTTTCATCCTTTAATTGACTATTAAAATTACTACTCTTAGATTTTACCTTCAAAAGAAGGAAGGTTCTTTTCACGTTGTTTTGTGGAATTCCATAAGCCAAAAATGCCTATTAGAAACCAAAGAACATATGATAACCCCAATTAGTCAAGTGAGAGAAATGGACAACTATTACAGGCCAACATTGTTTTGAGTATAACCATTACATGCATCACCAAAGCATTGTGTATGTTGATCCAGAAAGCTAACTTCTCCTCGTGTTTCAACTTCCCAGGATCTACTTCTTCTAATTGACAAATGAGTGACCTGAAACAATATAGAAGTGCATGCCCATTATAACTCCAAGAAACTGAAGAATTCAACTAACAACTAAGTATTTTCCACTTGAAAGCTTCATGATCTCAACCGGATATTAATAAACTCACCTGAAATTCTGGAGCAACTGCTCAGTATCACCCAATTTCTGATTTTCCCTGTAAATCCATGATACCTCAACCATGGTGCTGTATGGCCCGCTAAACTCCTTGAGTCCTTCCACGTGGAAAGGATTGTCTAACCGCACATCAAAAGAGGAATTATTCCTGAACCCGGGACTCCACATATCTCCTTGATCTCCAATAGAAAATGCACTAGCTGAAGACAAGGATGAATTGGGAGATGAAAGACCAGGATTAGTAGTAGATGGATCTGCGAGTTTGCAATATATAGCTGATATACATTTGACCATATCCTCAGAAAGCCTATTGGGTGTATCTGGTATATGATCAGATATTCGGGTACCCAGATGTTCTGCCAGACTGATTATTCTTGTTGAAGCATCAACATTTTGGGCATACTGTAAAGATTAAACTGAGTCAAAATCCAAAGAAGGCCTCCAAAAAGATGATTCTCTGAATCTAGCACTGATATATTTACAAAGTGGACATAACAGAACTTCACAGTAAAATGAATACTGTTATGTGTTCTTTTAAAAGGATAAAAAACAAGTTAGGATAACCTATTTTATCAAGAATGGTATGATTGCATCAACTCAACGTGCTAGAAGCCATACTAAATACAAAAAAAAAAACATATGAAAGGAAATTACCATGAAGCTTGACTTACCTCCATCATGGACAGTGGTTGGGAATGACAAGCACGCAGAGATTCGGTTAATTTTTCTGCTTCAGGAGGAGATACTCTTGTAAATGCTGTACACTGGGATAATGATGAGTGGCATCGATATACACCTGAGTCTAAATGCTTTCCTTCTGGCAGATGTGCATTGAATTCTTTCTCCAGAGTCTCAAGTTCATATCCATTATATTCCTTTTGTAGAGTATCAGGCTCATGATCCATAGATTCTACTGCAGAGCATCCTCTTCTGGTTAAGACTTCAGGCTTAGATACTTCAATGAATCTTGCTCTAGGTGTTGTTGGAGATTTTACTCTTTCCTCCTTGATGAATGGAGCTACAGAGGGTAGTTGTTGATCAAATGCTTTACGATACAAGGAGAGAAGATATTGTTCCAAATACACAACTTCTAACTCTAACACAGCAATTTCTTTAATCAATTCGGACGTTGGCTGGAGTCAAAAAAGAAAAAAAGTCAAGACAAACAAAGCCATACGTGAGAAGAAAATCATACAGAGTTACAGACCTTGAATCCTAAATAGTGTATAATAATTTATGGGCAAAATAATCTTATGATTGCAGAGACATACATGGCAAGATTGAGCCACAAACTTTCATCATCAATCCTAGCATGCATAAAGAAAAAAATGTATGTACGTTTGCAACATCAATGTTTCTTTAATAAGAAAGCACATATAAGTCAGTCCATTAATTCTCGCGATAACGGGATAAAAAATCATAACATCAGAAGCAAATGCACATTTGTTGGCCCAAAATTATTTATTGGAGTTCTCACCTTGGGCAGTATCATGTTATTTGAATTAACGAGAGATGTAGGTCTGTATCCAAGAGCCTTCTCTAACGTGCATCTGACCTCAAATTGGTCTTGTAGTCTTTTCTCTAATTGTAGAATCTGTCACAATAAAATTTAGACAGAAAAGTAGCTAGACTTATCAGGTAGAAGTATGTTGAGCCACTAGAAAAATGTGAAGCAAGATTAAAAGAAAATGACTGATTGAACCAAACTGCAGAATATGGCTGCAACAGAATATGCACCAAAAGAATTGTGATCAACAGTTCTGGTGCTGTACCTCTTGCTTCAGAGTATGTTGAACATCATTCATAGGCATTTGTTTTTTCCTAGGTTTACCGCATTCTGTGAGGTACCCTGTATCCTGGAATCAGATCAATCAAACCCATACTTAGATGTGAAAATCTTCTAAATAACTGTCTAGATGTAATTCGTGCCTGAGGACCACATAGAATGATATTATCATATTAAATTGGACCATTATTGTCACAATTGTATGAGATGGAATTAATTTTGTCAAACGTGTGTTTTCCATAAATCCATTCTCTATTAATCCATGCCAAACATTAATTTGAAAAAATATGTTTTTTATAAAATTTCTGTCTGCCCTTGGCGTTTGTAATACATTACCAATACCAACTAGACCCCGCCCCCCCTCCTCAACAACAAAAAAGAAAAAACTAACATTTTTTAGCATCATAAATGGTTAACATTGTTTTTTATATGAATAGCACCTTCAAATTCCCAAGTCAAAAAGGCTGGAAAAAATGTGAAGGGGCAATATATCGATGAAATAAAGTAGTGATTGATTATACCAGATTTGTTCGATCTGAGGCCTCAAGGTGATTATCATCCTCTTCTCTTTTCTTATCAGGAAAGCTGCAATATAAAAACAGTAAAACACAGTTAATATATATAATAAGTTAATGTCCGGTTCTGTATTTTATTATGAATCCATGAAATTCCCAATTATCATCCTTTCTAAAGAGGTATGAGCCTTGAGTTTCATATATCTAAAGATGTATGAAACGGAAAGTACGGAGAAAACATAAAAGAACCCTCTTTAAGCAACTAGAGAAGCTAAGCATAAGAAAAAGACCTCTTTGAACGCTTGTGCCTTGGAATCAACCCTTCAAACCCCATGCCTAAAAGCCATTCAAAATCAGTCATTTCCAGTGAACCAAATACACAAACAACAACACCCAAGAAAAAGTTGAAAAGCAAAGCAACACAGGGTCACCATCCTACCCTGGAACATAGCAACCAAGAACTCAGGAAGAGAACACTTGAGCAACAATGCAATGAGCCACAAAGGCAGAAAGACTATATAGCCCAGATACCAAAATAGCCAAGAGATTCTACAAACTAAGTTCCAACACTTGACTTGATTTGACTAGTTGCATTTCAGCAGAGAAAAGCTTCCATAGTACTCACAAAAGGGATCATTTGCAGTGCCTGCTCCTAAATGCTAACACATCTTAGACATACATAAACATAACTATAATGGGGCAGTGCATAAAACCAAACCCACGAATGCGGAGAAAAGATTAATTAGCCTTTTGACCAATGACCCTTCTCTTTTGACAACCTCCCTCGTTGTTAATTGTTTTTTGCTATGCTCATAGCCTTTTTGTAAAGGGTGGCCTTTAGACCGGTGTGAAATGTCAAAACGTTTACCAAAAGTTTTTAACGAATCTCTCTGTAAAGCCTCTACAGATCCAAGGTCACCTTAGAGAAGAAGAAAATATAATAGTGCCTCAATACATATATAATGTTACATATTCATGAAGTTTTGCCGACATCTCATTCTTCGATGAACGCTTGCTCTTTTGTAGTTTGTAACATAAGGGTAGAAATATGTTAATTTATAAAACTAAATTCTCATAAATTATATCTCTCAGAAAATAATACGGAATGTTACTTAAAAATGTATAGTTTTGGTATATAATAAATGGGGTATAAATTTTCATTAATAGTGTAATAAATATCATGCATAAAATAGATTTTCTCATAATCAATTTTTTAAAACTGATTATTAATTAATAGTCAGTTTTAAACAATAACTATTTAACAATCAATTATTGGAATAATCTTTATTTACAACTAATTCAAATACACACTTATTAAATTGAAACACTCACTTATAACCCATTAAGGACCAAGTGGTGAGGAGAGTTTGGGTAAAAAGCATGATTACTCAAAAAAAAGACAACATTCACTTATTATAAGTCCACGTACATTTTCGCAAGTGCCTAATGTTAAGCTATCTCATTTACCCATTTCAATTTCGTATCCTTGCTTTGTGCACAATGCTTGCGCCAATCTTTTAATATTTCTAGTTTTTTTCCTTTTAGATTTAGAAAGTTTTATTTTCATTTGAATTAAAAAATAAATAAAAAACTTTTTAGATTTTTTTTATATATATTTTGACTCCTCTGTCACCGAGAAGCTTTGCCCCTGTTAATAATATTTAGAGATGAGTTACCAAAAGTCTCCTTCAGTAAAATAGATATTTTAGGAACATATATGATGATTGAGGTATCCTCTCGCATTGACTCTGTATATGACCCTATTTATGCATGTATAGGTGGCTATCTTATTTTCAATATTTTCTGCTCTCGTTGGTAAGAGTTGGTGTCCACCCTTTGTCTCATTTTCTTCAATTATTAAGCCCATTGATTTGATGCGACAAAATCAAGAACAATGAAAACGGAAATGAAGATAAGATAGTGGTTCATTTTTGGTTGAAGACATGCATTTTGACTGTGCCAACAGTGGCACCATTTATTTGTTTAGGTACACTGGATTAATCTCTGTAAAATTGATTTGATTTCTTTCATATTCGGTGAGGTTTTGTCATGTCCATTCATGAAAAAGGCATTTTGTTTGCAGTCCTAAGTTTTCACATTTTATTATAAGCAATAATGAGGAATTGAAACAAGTGACTAGGTAACAAAACAGTGGCTTAATTGCAAGAAAGAAAAAGGGTAGACCTCAAAAGGGATGAAAAATGCTTGAAAGGAATAGAGGTCTTGTGGGGTTTCTCTTTGTCTAAATGTTTTCTGAGGGACTTAGATGCCCCATATTGTCCTTTAGTATCAAAGAAACTAACGTTTGTCACAGAATCCACAAATATAATATGTTAATGGGACTTGACCTAGCTTTACCAAAACCAATACAAAAAGAAAAGGATGGGAGTGTGGTAAGGTGGCCAGTTTCTCTTTTTGTCGTCATATTAACCTACGGAGTGAGAAAGTTTCTTTTTTGCTGCACACTTGCTTAGACAGAGAAAAAGAGAAATGAAAAAGGAGAGCAAAAGCTGAATTGTTGAAGATAGGTGAGAGAAAATAACAAAGGGAGGAATTTGTTGGTATAATTTGTTCACATGCAATGTTATCTAATGCACATCTTATTATCTTCATAACTTTTCAAGATTGGAAAGAAAAAGAAAAAGGGGCACATAAGAAATGCACATTGTCCATATTTATCACAAGCATAACAAGTAAATTTCTACTTCTTTATTGAAATTGAGAGTCATCAATTCGGTTAAAGCATATAGCAAACATCTTTGGTAAGCTTAAGTGAGCTGAATAGTTATTTGCTCAGACAACATTATCTATTAGTTATGCTGTGGGGAAAATGACAAAGTATTTTAAGATCCAAACTTTGTTATCCTTTAAACTTGACAAAGTGACAAAATTTTAAGAGCCTCGTGAGGTTATTTTCTCAATAGACCGAGTGAAAACAAAACAAATATGCAGGGTTCTTCTTTGGACGCATACGATATTTTAAGCTTCACTACAGAGTCGAGAGAATTCTGGTCCCAATAAATAAACAAATGAAACTTCTATTTTATCTTATTGTGGAAATTTCATACAAGCCAGAAGGACATTTTCAATGGCACATAACACCAAGAAAACAAGAAAAAATAATGTGTAATAAATGGTTTGTTTCTGACCAAGTGAGGGGATTTTTTTTTTCTTCAAATCAATCTGACAGACATGCTTCCTAGATCCATGTAACCGTCTAAATTGTCTAATAACATTCTTTAATTGAGGATTACAAAACATAGCATCCGCAAGATAAGAATCTAAATTCACAGTTCTATATACATTACACACACCCAAGATTCTCCATAATTTTTTTGATAAAATCAGTTTATAATCAAACACAATACTAGGTTAGGTGAACATGCTTAATTAAATAGTAAAATAGATGCTAAACATAAATATTATAGCTAGATTGAAGACTTCTACTAGAGTGCAAACACAAACACTATACCAAATAGGATCTGAAAATTTTGATTTGGCTGTTTCACTTGCAGAGATAGTTAATTGAACAGATGGTGAACAATTTTGGATGAATTGATAAAAGACGACAAATTAGAAGTATTTCATGTGTGAGTAAATTCAAATGAAGCTTGGAGGGCCAGCATACCTTTCTGAAGAGTGGTACTTGTAATATGTGATCTTTTGTCGTTGTTCTTTTAGTCATATTATATTTAACTAGTATTGTTTGTTTTCATATCGGAAACAAACCTAGTTTTGAATATCATCGTAAAAGCAAATCAAAATTGGTTTTTGTATCAATTAGAGATACGAGATCGCCTTGTATACCATGTAACACAGTTATACAAGCTAGTTAGTTGGACAATAAAAAAATGCATTCGAAGAATAAATTTGAATAAATTTTGTACAACAAAAAAAAATGGAATGTGATATGTAATATACTCTAATACACTTATGATAGAAAGAAAGAGAGAAAATACAAAACAATAGTATATTTAAAAAAAAATATTGTATTGTTGATTATTTTGTATTATCTTTATTTTATTTTTTCATCCTATAAGCGTGTGTTTGCATTAGTTTTGAGACATGAAAATTCATGTTTAACGGAAAGCAATAAATTAAAATTTTCATGTAAATTTACTTGTAAACATGAAGAGAGAAAGAAAAATTACGTTTATAAATCAAAACCAAACACGCACTAATTCGAAAATTTAATATCTTTTTAGCCTTTTGTTGTTGGCATGTTGGTAAAATTCTCACTGGGGGCATCCATCTACTTCATGTCACTTTATGAGTACGTACAACGAATTAAAAGTGACTTTTGATACTAAAGTAGTACATATCTGTTTCTCAAATCATAAGAGCATGATGAAGTGCCTAAATCAAAGTTGTTGTTTCCAAAACTGTGAATCAGAAATTGGCTGGTGCAGCATCACGCATCTGCTACGAGTGAGGAATCTGATCTGATAAGTGTGCCTCGTAATGGCAACACCTAAATCCACCAATTGTGTCTATTAGCTAAACGTGGAGGGAAAGAACAGGGACACTGTGACTGATCATTGTCAGTGTGTGACTGCATGTCTTTTCTGTTCACCATTTTTAATTTAAACCGTGGTGAGTAGCATAACAAGTATGTAGTAAATGTTGAGTAATGATATAATCAAAATAAAAAATAAAAATGTTAATTACACTTTTTTTATTGCTAATACTCTCTTTAATATTATTATTGAAAATTATAATTTTGATGGGTCATACTACTAAATCAAGAGAGACCGTTAACTGAGATGGTACAAAAATCTCAACATAGATGCCTAATCTTATAGGAATTATGTTTATGATATAACCACAATAAAATATATAAGTGAGAGTAATTTCCCCTTTATAAACTTATTTTCTAAAGTTTAATTAGACTTAAACTCACGTTACAAATATTACTCTGCTTATCATCGTCAAAGAATGTTTACGAAAAAATGGTTTTAGTGCATTATTTTTCACGTCTTTTTGGCTTTGAGAAAGGCAAAGTAGAATCCGAATTGCGTGACATAAAAGGCGAACTATCCAAAGACGTTTAGACAAGGCAGTGAATGCCAATCGTAAATTACAAGCATAAGGCATCTCTCTCACTCTCTCTCTCTCTTTTCCTACTCATATACTGTCCCCACTTCTCTCACTCCAAAGATGGTCCAAGAACCATTATCTTAAAGGGTGCATATACCCTCCTCCAAGGGTCATAACCTAGTGGTTGAAGGTCCAAACCTAAAAAAATTTAATATTGTGCAATACTTTAAAGCATTAGCAAACCATCGCTCTCCAACAATGATTTCGATTAAAGTTTAGTTCATAGTAAGATGATTTATGTTTGAAAGATTTAATTTGTTTCAAATAATAATAAGAAAACAAAGGAGGGTTTGGAGTTGTGCATTGCAAAACCAAATACACTATAAAGTAAACTACTCCACGTTAAAGTTGGCACTGAAATGAATTTTCAGCCATTGAGATCACATAAAAATTTAGCAATAACAAATGGGTACTTTTGCAATAAATATATGATGATTTTGGCCAAAAGGGGACTGGCACCATGGTGGTTCCACTTCCACATGCTTTAACTTCAGTCACAGTCACAGCCTTGTGAAGAAGATGCATTGTTGGCTCCTAACGCTTTCTATGTTCCTTTCTTTCTCCCTGTATACACTTTTCTTGTCATGAAAGATCTTTTCTCCGAGTTCTCTTGTTGGTTACCCATGAAATTATGTCCTAATTTTCTCTTATTTTTCCGGTTTAAAAGAATTTAGGAAAATTAAGGACTATATAATATAACCACTAGAATAAGTATAATAATGAAAGTTAGAATAATATACACAAATTTTTAATTCAAACTTTATTGTCGTCATTTTAATTTTTACTTAAACTTAATCTTTAAATTTATGGTGTATCGTGTGGACTTGAATGCTCTCGGTGGAATACCGAGACCCTAAGGAAACCCCCAAGTCACCAAACATATCATTCCAAAATAAGCTGCAGTCACCAAACACCCA